ATTCCAATCCAGCGCTTGCTTGCAGATTTCGTTTCGCCCCGTCGAAGTGTGTGGCCGACCAACCTCCACTTTCGCTCTCGAATTTCTATTGCTATCGGCTTCTGATGACATCGACGATGGAGCTCGGCATTCGAGATCCAGTTGTGAGGCCACCAGGCACGGATTATATACCGCAGGCATCGGTTGATAAGGACCTGCAGCTTTTGAGTGTTCTCCGCTGATACACACCACGTCTCGCTGGCGTATAACAACACAGATTTCACGTTCGAGTTGAAAATTCGGATTTTGGTGCGTTGACTTATCTCCATACGTTTCGTAAACTGGCAAAGGCAGCCCTAGCCTTCTTGATTCGTGCACCTATGTCGCTCTTGGTCCCGCCGTCCGACGCTATTTGGCTGCCAAGATATTGGAAACTTTCGACCTTCTCCACTGCTTGCCCCGCTACCGTAAAGTTGGAAGGGTTGCCCGTGTTGATATCCAACGATTTGGTCTTGTTGACGTTGATGGTGAGACCCGCCGCAGAGGAGCGTTCGGCTAGGTCATTGAGCTTACTCTGCATATCAGAGCGCCGTTGTGCTAGTAGAGCAACATCATCAGCCAAATCGAAGTCGTTGAGATGCTCCATGGTGATAGGCTGCCAAAGCAGCCCACGGTTCGGTACTCTGTCAATTGTACCTACCATGATCTCGTCGATTACGATGAGAAACAGTAGCGGTGATAGTATACATCCTTGTCTCACACCAGCGATTACCCGGATAGGGTCGGACAAGGCTCCATTATGCAGAACTCTGCACGTGAAAGCCTCATACCAACAATCAATACGAAACTAACGATTTTAAATTGGCTCACCACTTTAGTAGCCTATTGGTCCCAAGCAAACGATTAACGTACCCTATTCTAGTTGAAATTCTATTACTACACTATGTTTGTTTTGATTCGCTATGAAAGTTTGACAGATAACATCAGGGGTGTGTGGATTCATGCAGAACATGCAGGGGTGAGTGAATTAGCTTGGGACTGCTTGGGACCGTTGTTCTGGTACTGAGTGAGCCAAAAATAATAATGATTTTCTTCGGGACCCAGTGGTCTTAGAGTTACCTCTATGCTCATACTGCGCTTCGATGAGGTTGATGATTTTATCCGGGACTCCCTTGCGTTTCAGGGCGCCCCACAGATTCTCGTGATTAAGGCGGTCGAAAGCTTTTTCGTAATCAATGAATACCAAATAAAGGGACTCTTGGAATTCATTGACCTGCTCCAGGATGATGCGGAGCGTGACAATATGGTCCACACAAGATCTTCCGGCACGGAATCCTGCCTGCTGCCGTCGGAGAGTCGCGTCGATCTTCCCCTGTATCCGATTCAGGATAACTTTGCACAGAACTTTGAGAACAATACACAGTAACATGATGCCTCGCCAATTGTCGCACACAGTCAGATCCCCCTTTTTTGGGACCTTCACTAAGATGCCCTGCATCCAGTCGGCCGGAAAAGTCGCGGTGTCCCAGATATTACAGAATAGTTTATGCAACATTTGTGTGGATAGCATGGGGTCAGCTTTGAGCTGATATGCGATCGACCCCTGGAGCCTTGTTGGATTTCATGCTTCGGATAGCTGCTTCAATCTCCTGCAGTGATGGGGCCTCGGAATTGACGCAAGTGATGCGACGCACCCGAGGCGGATCATGCCGAGATGTTGATGGCTGGTTGGCCGTCGAAACTTGAAGAAGTTGTTCGAAGTGCTCAATCCAGCGTTTCAGCTGGTCAGTGGGGTCGGTAAGCAATTGTCCAGTCGTGTCCTTCACTGGCATCCTTACTCCACTCAGGCGTTGTGAGATATCGTAGCGGAGACGTATATCGCCAGTGTTTGCGGCTTTCTCCCCTTCGTCGGCCAGAGAGTTCACCCACGCTCACTTGTCCCGTCTGCAAGAGCGCTTGACTTCCTTCTCTAGAGCCGAGTACCGTTGACGGGCTTCGTTCTTGGCTCCTCTGGTTCTCGCCCACTCTATCGCGGCTTTTGCTTCTCTACGCTCCTCAATCTTCCGCCAGGTTTCATATGTGATCCACTCTTCCTTTTTGTTACACCGGAAAAAAAAAGTAATACTGCTACTGATGATTTTTTTCCATGACTATGGTACTATGACCAACTGCATCACATAGTGCATTCTTGCATCTTGTTAAACAGTTGTCTACGGGTCAAAACTTTAACTCCAGACGGTCCTAGAACAAAAAAATCTAACTTATACATCTATGTCGACAGTTATACAAAACCTACATCATTTTAAGGATAAAATTGCAACGCTATATATTTAATAACATGTTTCAAAATTAAGTTGTACATAAAATTTCAAATAGAATTGGAATTTTGTAAATATAACATTTTACTGTTTCCATTTTTAAAGACTGTACTCGAAAAAAAATATACAACAGACAAAAATAATCACCGAAAATTCATTTAAGTCGAATATTTTTCAAACTCTCATGGAATTAATAAACACATATAAGCTATGATTTTGCAAAGTTGGTTTATTCAACCTCCTCTCCTAGGCTAAATGCCCGCACCTTGGACTTAACGCTACCTATCAAATCCTGTGCAACACTTGCGCTATCTTTCTTACACACTTTCATCACACTCTTTCTTCAAATCCTTGTCTTTTTTGAAGACCTTCCCTGTTTTCCGGAGCTTGCCCTTCATAATCGACTTTCATCTCCTTCAAAATCGGAAGAACATAGAGACGAAAGAAAAGGCGCTTTCTTCATCATCATGGCCTAAAAGCGTCTACTTCCGGGAATTCAAAGATAGTAGATCGGGTTCAAATGTTTGGAAACCATCTCAAGCTCCAACTCACACTCCAGAGGATTAGCCGATCTGCGACGCGCAGTAGTAATCATCATCCAGAGGTCTTCTCAGTTCGAAACAGTCCTGCCTTCTGCTGTCATCGCTCATCAGACTCGTCGCGGTCCTGTTGTCACTTCTGGTGAAGAGGTTCTCCAACCCGCTTTCACAGGCAAGTACCAGCAATTTGTAGAACGTACTGTTCCTGATCGATTCTCCGTTTCTAGTCAACAATCTTCTGCACATGCCTCCAGTCGCCAACAACACGTCACTTATCACGTCGATACTCATCTTGATAATTCACCAACCGTCACCTCAATCAGTCCGGGACGCACGTCACTAAGTAGTATGAAGCCCTGGACCCACCTAGCTCAGCACTGCCAGCTCCAGTTTTATTCAGTCTTATCGTTCCCGCCATCATAGTCGTCCCGGCGCTGAGTCTAGTGCTGAGGAAAGGGGTTTCCAAGCTGCCATCCACGGCAAGTATTATTTTCCTTATGACGTTGCTCGACCTGATGCGGCCTTCCCTTTCAGATCACCGTCTACTGATTCACGCATCCCTGCACATGGATTGCTGATTTAATATCAGAGCGTCAGCGGTCTGAACTCGAGCCTGGATCAATACTATTTGGCTATCTCCGGCTGCAGCTACGATATGATCGCCCTAATGTTGCTTTCGGTTCCTTTTACGAGGTATTCCGATACGACCGCAGTCCTCTAAACAGCCGTAAGGCTTCCGGTGGAGGCGTCCTAGTAGCAGTACGTAACGGGTCAATCATGGATTTTCGTTGAGCAAGTGTGAATATCTATGGATCTCAATAGCTCGACCTTTTATCTATGCGTCGTTTATTTTCCACCAGATGATGATCTGATAAAATTTAATGTACATTTGCAATCAGCTATGCACATATTGGAAAAGACTACTGCTAGTGACGAAATGGTGATACTTGGTGATTTCAACCTTCCTGGCATTAAATGGCAACGTGCTACTGACAGTTTTCTTTATCTTGATCCATCAAAATCGCGCATTCATGCGATATCAATACTCCGTTGCTTCCCTACGTCAGATTAATAGCATAACAAATCAAAATGGCCGACCATTAGACTTGTGCTTCGTGAGCTCCGACACCCCGCAAAGTATTACACAAGCTCCATCTCCTTTAGTAAAACTAGTGCCCCATCACCCACCGATTCTCCTTCATCTCGAGGAAAGCCCGATGGTCGAACCTGCCGTAGTTTCTCTATCCACTTACTATGACTTCAATAATGCCGACTATGATGGCATTATCAATGTCCTTAATGGTATCAAATGGGATGAAATCTTCGAAACAGATGACGCTGATATCACCACTACAAGTTTTTCAAATGTTTTGGGCTAATTGATCGCGCGTGATATGAAGGTTTGCACCCATTATTCCCATAAACAAAAGAAGCGCTCCAACCGAATCAATTTTTATCTTCCTACGATAGGCCGAAGTGAATTCATTGGCGTTTCGATGGTGTTGGGATTTATCCCGAAACAATTCCTTGGATCAAACGTTTTGTTTGTGTGCTGATCAAAGCTAAAAATGTATATATTTAAATATAAAGATCTTTTCAACAAATTAGGTATAATTACTTACAATTTAGTTTCTTAATCGGCAAAATCTCTTCCTCGTGCGGATGGGCACCCTATTAATGCACTTGTATCAAGTTGAATTTTCTAGTTAAATGTAGTTTGTAAGATATTATTTATAAATTAGTTTAAGATTCAACAAGATATCGATATTTTTAAACATTTAAAGGTCTTTTATGAGAGTTATCGAGATTTTTAAACTCACTTTCAGCTATGTTCGTATAGTCCAACAGTCTCGATTCCCTCGTATAGGTCAGGTCATGAACTCACCTAATTCATAAATATTTATCCTATTTTAATTAGAATCTACTAACGATTCAATTTGTACTTACTAGATTAGCAATAATTACAATAATATTTAAGATTTAAACAAAGCACTTTTCTCAATTAAGGTAGAATTAATGAAATTTGCTTTATAAATTCGGCCACCACGTTGTAACGATTGTGAAATGATTGTTCCTTTTGTTTTTTTTTTTGCTTTCTATCTTCTGTCTTCTTGTCAGTGCACCGTCTGTCGTGTTGTTGTAAAGAACGAACTACTCCAGTTGATCACTCTGCGGCAGGGACTGCGTTGCGTGCCCTGCGGTTTAAGCCGCAACATGCCCCGGCCCGTGAACCTGGTCCGGAAGTCACGTCCGGACCAGTGTCACTTTCATTTATTTCAAGCACCGCAAGTTTCGCTGTCGCTCGCTTTAGCATGCCGCTGTTGGTACGAATCCAGGCCTGGCGTACTCTGCCATCTCCGGCAACTATCGGCTCCTCAACAATCCCACGTACCCAACACTTCCGCTTGTCGCCATCAACAACGTAGACCAAGTCACCTTTCTTCAAATTCTTTGCTTCACCAAACCACTTGGTACGCTGATTGATGGAAGGAACGTATTCTTTAATCCACCTCTTCCACATCTCGTCAGCTATCTCCTGCGATCGCTGATAGGAGTCCCGCAGGGCTACAGCTGAATTGACGGGAGCTACGTTGTACCTTGGTTCGTTCGGAGCGACTCCACGGAGGAAGTGGTTGGGGCTCAACGCTTCGGAATTATCTGATTCATGCGCCACGTACGTAAGTGGACGGCTATTGATGATGTCCTCCGCTTCGGCTATCGCAGTCACCAAGATTTCATCTGTCAGTCGCTTCCCATCGTTTATCGCCTCCAACACTTGCTTCGTGGAACGGACTAATCTCTCCCAGACTCCGCCCATGTGCGGCGAAGCCGGAGGATTGAAGTTCCACTTCATTCGAGCTGATGTTACCTCCGCTGCGCAATCTACGTTGATGCTGCGTACATTTTCCATTAACTCCTTACTTGCTCCTTTAAAATTTGTGCCATTGTCCGAGAACACTTCTAATGGCGGAACTCGATAGGAGGTGAAGCGTTTGATTGCCATCAAACACGATTGCGTGGTCAGGGAGTGTGCTACTTCGAGGTGAACCGCTCTGACTACTAGGCACGTGAACAAAACGATCCATCTCTTTTCACTGCGGCGGCCTGTTGTAACTGTTATTGGGCCGAAGTAATCGACCCCCACGAAGCAGAACGGCCGCACATACGGAGTTACTCTCTGTACAGGTAGCGCGGCCATCCGAGGACATCGTGGGCGGCTCTTGGCAACCCTGCACTGTATGCAAGCTTTCCCCACCATAGCGACCACACTACCCACCTGTGGGATGACGAATCGTTGTCTCAGCTCGTTCTTCACCGTCTCCCTATATCCGTGGCCGAATTGCTCGTGATAATGCTGAACGATTTTCCAGGTAACAGCATGGTCCTTGGGCAGTATTATCGGGAACCTCAAGTCAAACGGTAGGAATTCAGCTGATCCCGTTCGACCTTCCATACGCAGGAGACCGTTCTCATCGATTAGCGGCGTCAACTTATAGATGAAGCTGGATTTCTCGATTTTCAACCACGTCCCGGCCGGAAGCTGCAAGTTCTTCATCAAGATCCTCAGTTCACTACTGAACGCATCTGCTTGTGCCATCCGCATCAACGAAATTTCCGCTAGCTCATACTCCTTCTGATTCAGTGGCGTCCGCAACATCGGATAATCGATCGGGAGAATGATTTGCGCTTGCATTTCCGTTGGTTTCAGCGTTTCGATCGGCGATCCCTTCAGCTTTCTTCGACAGTTCGACAGAAACCTAAATACGCAAGCCATCGTCCTTACCAGCACCGTCCACTTCGAAATTCTGTTGACGTCGATTACGGGAGTAGGAAGGTTAACATCGTGAACAAGCAGGTGCGCTCTCAACTCTTCTTCTGTATCTGGACCTGGCAACTTCTGCTTCGGCCAGTCTGCTTCCGGAAGATATAGAAACTCTGGCCCGGTGAACCAACTGCTGGTTGAACTTATTTCAGGGTCTTTCGTCCACTTAGTCAGCTGGTCCGCGACGTTCATCCTCGTTGGAACCCAGTGCCACTCCGACAGGTTCGTACGAGTTAGTATTTCACCAATACGAAGACCTACGAACTCTTTGTACTTACGCTGATCTGACCTGATCCACGATAGCACAGTGGTAGAGTCCGTCCAGAAAAATTGTTGCTTGATTTCCAACGAATGGCCATCTCGCACCGCAGAAGCCAGCCTGGTCCCCAGCACTGCCGCCTGCAACTCAAGCCTTGGAACTGATAGCGGCTTCAACGGAGCCACCTTCACCCGACTAGTCACCAGTACACATCTGATCGTTCCGCCCACCAAAGCTCGAAAATAGGCCGCACACCCGTAAGCACCTTTGCTAGCATCGGACACTACGTGCAGCTGTAGATCCTCGATCTGATCCATTCTAGCGTCTCCAAAGTAGCTCCGGGGAATCCTGATTGCCTCGATCATCGGCAAAACTTTCGTCCAGCGAATCCACTTTTGGAATGATTCATCGTCAATTTTTTCATCCCAGTCGCAGCCAGTCCTCCACAAATCTTGTACCAACATGCGACCGAAAACGGTGAATGGAGAGAGCAAACCTTGAGGATCAAACATAGCCATGACACAACTCAACACAATCCTTTTGGTTGGTCGTTCAACCCCTTGTAGAACCAGTTGGTACTCCTCTCGTCCATCGGTAGAAAACAGGAAAACGTCCTCTTCTGGGTCCCATATGATTCCCAGAACTCGCTCGGTATGCGTGGTTTTGTCCCGGCTGAAATGGACAGCAGGATTCGACTTCTGTTCGGCCATCGCTTCCAGAAACTGCTTGGAGTTGGAAACCCAATTCCTGATATGGAAACCTCCTCGGGAATGAATGAATTTCACCTGGTTCGCCAACTCTACCGCTTCGTCAACGAAATCTACGCTATCGTAATAATCGTCCACATAATGTTTCTCTATCACTGCAGACGAAGCTCGTGGAAAATCGTTCGCAAACTCGGCAGCATTCAAGTTTTTTATGAACTGCGCCGAACATGGGGAGCAGGTGGCCCCAAACGTAGCTACGTCCATGACGTACACTGTTGGTACATCAGTCGGATTCGATCGGAACAGGAACCTCAGAGCTTGCTTATCTGCCGCCCTCATCAGCATCTGGTGGTACATTTCTTGTATATCACCACCGAATGCAATTCTGCGTTCACGAAACTTATTAATCACCGTCGGCAGAGACTGCAGCATGTCTGGTCCTTTGAGCAGCTCAGTGTTAAGCGAAACTCCGCCTACCGGGGCTGCGGCGTCCCAAACCAAACGTACTTTACCCGGCTTCCGAGGGTTGAGCACCACGTTCAAGGGAAGGTACCACACCTCATTTTTCTGCCATCCAGCTAGCTCCTCCTCTGTAGCTTTGTGCGCGTAGCCCTTCGTCACGTACTCCGCTATCTGTTGGTGGACATTTTGCTTCAGATCTGGACTTTTTTCCAGTTTCCTCTCCAGTGCCTGTAACCGCCGGGCCGCCATCGGGTAACTGTCCGGGAACCTTCTTTCGTCTTTACGCCACAGCAAGCCCGTCTCAAATCTGTCGCCGATCCGCACTGTCGTTGCTTGGAGAATCTCACGGGCGCGTATGTTTTCAGCTGACTCTGGAACTGAGAAGCAAGAAGTACCGGTGTCCTCCAACAAGTACTGTGTCCGCAACATCTCATAAAGATCCTCGTTCCGAATTGGTTCGACGGAGTGAACGTTCATGTGACTTTCTGCAGTAGCAGCCGCAGCAGGATTTCCTGGTCCGTAGATGGTCCACCCAAGTTTTGACCGTACAGCGATCGGCTGGCCAGGCGCACCCACTCGAGTTTCTAGTGGAGCGAATACGTGTAGGTTGTCCAAACCGATTATGATACGAGGCTCCTCCGCAGCGTAACTTACTACTGGCAAATCCGTCAGGTGAGAGTAGCGATCCGCGATCTCCTCGAACTGCATGGATTGACACGGCAGCTTCAACTCAGCCACCGTACGTGCGTTCTTCAACGATAGTATCTCGCGAGATCCTCTAGCCGACAGTTTGAGATTTACCTTTTTCGATTGATTCTCGTAGCGCTTCACGTTGCCCGTCCACGTAACCACCAGTGGTTCGCAAACCCCCTCCACGTTCAGCTCGTTAATAACAAATTCCTCCACCAGCGTAGTGGATGACCCTTCGTCCAAAAAGGCCAGAACATCCATTGCATATTTCCGGAAATATAGAGTAATCGGTACCATACGGAAGATGATGGCACGACTCAACCGTCCGTGGGCGTGGCACTCGACATTTAGCAGCTGTACGACTCCTTCCGCTCGATGAAGCAGAGGATGGTGTCCACCTTGACATCCAGCAACGTTGCAGCGGATTTTAAAGGTGCATCGACTTTTGCCGTGGTTATTAAGGCATAGCGCGCAGAGTTTGTTTTGCTCCACCGTCTTCAGTCGATCCGTGATGCTGAGCTTCTTGAAATCATCACAGAATCGTAACTTGTGATCTGTCCGCTTGCAAACCCAACACGGCTTGATTCCTTTTGCCTCCTTCGGAATTTCAGGCTTGTTCGGAGCAGAACCGTGGACATGAATGAATTCTTTTTTCTTCGGTTTTCCTTTTACGGGACAAGTGGCTTCGTTCAGACCGAGAGCAGAAAACTCGACAATTTCCGACACATCGGAAAGAATATCATTCGTGAAGTCGGTGAATATTCGCAGCGGAGTCCCTCTTTTCTCCCGTTTATATCGGACCCAGTCCAATTTGTAGTTGGGCGGAAGTTTGTCGACCAACTCGTTCACCAACATCAGATTGCTGAGATGATCTGACAAGTGGGCCGCCTCGAGATGGTCACAAAGGTGTTTAACCGTGATCCCAAACTGGATGAATGATTCCAAGCGGTCGGCTTTCGGGGGTTGAGCATTGCGCACCTTCATCAGCAACGTTTTAAGCAGCTTTTCGGGTTTCCCAAAAAGACGTCGGAGGTCATCGATAACATCGGGAACGGATTCCGGAAGAATAAGTCGGCTCCTCACCGCTTCGAGTGCGCTCCCTTGCAGACTGTCCTGCAACCGCTTCAGGTTATCCAAATTTGAGTAACCACACGCCGACGTGGTATACTCGTAGCTGCTGATAAAAATAGGCCACAACTCCGGTTCACCCTTGAAAATTGGCAGGTTTTTGGAGAGAGCTTGTCGAGCAGCTATCTGTTCTTTGGACAACTTAACGTTGGCCTGAACGTGCCGCTGTGACGTCTTTTGCTGCTGAATCGTCGGCAGCTGTTTTTTCAACGACGGCTGTTGCTTTTCCGTAAACTGCTGCAGCTTTTTTGTCGACGGCTGCCGCTTTTTACCAGTTAGTAGGCGAGAAAGAAATTCGTGTTCCTCTCGGGATATCTGGAACTCATCATCTTCATCCTCTGATTCCTCATCACCTTCCTTATATTCATCCTCGCCTTCTTCTACATCTTCATCCTCGCCTTCTCCTTCATCTTCATCCTCGCCTTCCTCCGATCCATCATCCTCATCTTCGTCCGATCCTGCTTCTTCTTCCAGCGTAACTGCTTTATTTTTCGATGAACCTGCAACTGGCTCAACTAGCTTCGTTGTGGTCAGCGGAGAGTTCTTTCCTCCTGTCTGCTTTTTAAGCCAGAACTTCACCTTTTTCTCAAAGGACGTTTCATTTTCCTCCTTCGCAATGTTACCGCCAACTTTTTCTCGACCAGCAACCGGCTCAGCGACAGTCATTTTCGCTTCTACAAACTCCTCGTACATCTTCTTGCGCCGATCTTGAAAAGATGCTTCCTCGGCCAACTCTTTCTCCAGCATTTCGTGCTCTTCCTGCAACTGGCGCTCCTTCAGCTCTCGGTCTTGTTGCAGTTGTTTCTCACGGAATGCCTTCTCCATTTGACGCCGTTTCTCCTGTAGAGCCCTCGTCATTTCCAGTCGCTTCTCACGCAAGATCATTTCGTCTTCCAAGGCCTTTTCCTGAGTGCGTTTTTCGTCTTCCAACTTTTTCAGCGAATCTTCCAGGTTTTCTCCGCTTTCCGAAACGGATCCGACGGAAGATCCACCATCGCTCCTTGATTTTTGCCCAATCGTCTTTTTGGCTTCGGCTTTGCTGGTTTTTCGGGTTTTCGGAACCTGCAGAGCATTATTGCATTTGATGCAGCGCCAATCCTGCTCTTTCACCTCGTCCGTAACGCCAGCACACGAGTAATGGGCCCACAGTTCGCACTTATCGCACTGCACCATGTCGCAGATCTTGTTGGGAGCATTGCACATCAGACAATCTCTCTTCTCGGGATCCATCTTTTGAGGATTAAATTCTTTGATTTTGTTGGGATTTATCCCGAAACAATTCCTTGTATCAAACGTTTTGTTTGTGTGCTGATCAAAGCTAAAAATGTATATATTTAAATATAAAGATCTTTTCAACAAATTAGGTATAATTACTTACAATTTAGTTTCTTAATCGGCAAAATCTCTTCCTCGTGCGGATGGGCACCCTATTAATGCACTTGTATCAAGTTGAATTTTCTAATTAAATGTAGTTTGTAAGATATTACTTATAAATTAGTTTAAGATTCAACAAGATATCGATATTTTTAAACATTTAAGGGTTTTTTATGAGAGTTAACGAGATTTTTAAACTCACTTTCAGCTATGTTCGTATAGTCCAACAGCCTCGATTCCCTCGTATAGGTCAGGTCATGAACTCACCTAATTCATAAATATTTATCCTATTTTAATTAGAATCTTCTAACGATTCAATTTGTACTTACTAGATTAGCAATAATTACAATAATATTTAAGATTTAAACAAAGCACTTTTCTCAATTAAGGTAGAATTAATGAAATTTGCTTTATAAATTCGGCCACCACGTTGTAACGATTGTGAAATGATTGTTCCTTTTGTTTTTTTTTTGCTTTCTATCTTCTGTCTTCTTGTCAGTGCACCGTCTGTCGTGTTGTTGTAAAGAACGAACTACTCCAGTTGATCACTCTGCGGCAGGGACTGCGTTGCGTGCCCTGCGGTTTAAGCCGCAACAGATGGCGTTTCAATGCGTTAGGCCGAGTTTAGAATCCGTAGGCCGAGTTTGGCGTCATAAGCAGTGTTAGACTTTTGACAATATCTCAACTATTGGTTTCTCTTTATCAAATCTTACGGTCATACGGAAAAGTAAATAAATTTGAAAGCCATCAGTGATAATAACATTCCGTTTGGTGCTAAACTGCTCTAGATTAAGAAAGACTAAGTGCGAGTTGTGCTCAATAGGCCGTAAATGGGGTAGTTAACCCTATTTTCCGTCCAAAAGAAAGGTGATAGACAAAATGCTTACAAATATCGTGGAATTTCAACGTTGTGTGCGGCTTCCAAATTGTTCGAATTGGTGGTCCTGGAACCAATCTATTTCCACGTGAAGCAATACATTAACGAGGATCAGCATGGATTTATGCCAAAGCGTTCAACGATCACGAATCTCCTGTCAATCATGTCGTTCATCATAGATGGGCTTACAGCTGAATCGCAAACTGACGTCATATAAAGGAAGTGCACCAGTATTGGCAGAAGCATCAGAACCAAAATTGGTGACGAATTGTCAGTTCCGTTCCCCGCTCTGTCTGGTATTCCTCAAGGTAGCCATCTTGGGCCATTGGCCATCTGTTACTGAAATCCCATCGTTTATCCTGCTATGGAGCTGCAAGACTGCAATTCAAAGTTGGTGTGAGATGAACTGCATGCTTTTAAATCCCAGTAAATGTACTTGGACACATTTTCGAGAAAGACGACCCAGTTACCCAGACAACAAGAATGCACGTATATTCAAAGTTGTTTTCGTGATATACAAACATATATACAAACAAACAATTCGCATAGAATGCAAATAAATGGCTTATACGTACAAAAGTGGAGGCCATATACGTGCATATTTTAATTTAATTTTAAACGAGTTGATTTAACATCATATACGATTTAATCTGTAATAAATTTATTTTGAAGAGTTTTACGATGTAATCCGATTTAATTTGTGATACAGTACGACAGAAAAATTAGTTATCGCATATAGGTCGGAAATTTTCATTCTATACGATTTAACTTAAACATAATGCGAGGTATGCTATTCTTATATGCGATTTTGACTTAAACTGTAGCAATTTACGATACTGTCTGTACATTGTTATACGACATTTCGTTGTCTGGGTAAACTTCGGCTATTCCTTGATGGGCACTCAATTGCAGAGGGAAAACCAGGTTAAAGATTTAGGAGTGATTTTTGACGCATTTGTCGTACGTAGTCACGAAAGCCTCACGAAACCTTGGCTTCAATTTTTGGGTAGCAAAAGAGTTCCAAGATGTGTACTGCCTGAAATCACTATATTGCTCCCTGGTATGAACGACATTGGAATATGCTTCTTCAGTTTGGAACCCTCATTTCCAAAATGGTGTTGAACAAATCGAGTCGGTACAGCGGCGTTTTATCAGATACGCTCTCCGAAGATTGGCTTGGAGGGATCCCTTTAATCTACCGAACCGTTGCCTCATGGTCCAGCTGAACACCCTCCAAACGCGACGTGAGATGGCTAAGGCACTTGTTATCGCTGATATTCTAACCGACCGTATGAGTTGTCCTGCCCTGCTCGTCCTTGTCTGTTCCGTTTGAATACTCATACCTTTCAAGTAGTGGCTCAATCTTAGGATGTGGTAACCAAATTGCCGAGAACCAGTCATGTCAACATGAATCGACACGCATTTTGCTCGGGACTTTTCCCGGTTTTTCAGTTCCGGCTGGCCAACCACAGGTCCAATTGGGTTTCTATCTATTCAAAATAAAATTAGATAGCCATATATTTCGATTGGTGGCTGAATCACAACGATTGATAATTGCATTACTGAGAACCAGCCATGTCAACTATGAATCGACACGCATTTTGCAGCCTTGATACTTTGAGGAAGTTTCGATGACTTGGGATTATGTCAGTTAATGTTCAAGCTCGCTCCCGTGCGCTTCGAGGCAACTCTCTTCCCAGGATCCCACTCAGGAGAACTAACTATGCGGCGAATTCCGGCCTAATCGCCCTCCAACCGAGTCTGCTCAGTTTTTGATTTTGACATGTCACGCGACTCTCTTAGAATACCATTTTTGTTAGCTTTAAGGTAACTTTTTATCATTTGGACACCAAACAAGTCTGTTGATAACATATAATAAATAAATAACATAATTTGATATGATCTTGAAACCTGAAAAAAAGTGCGTAAGGTTTACCATAAGGATAAATATCGTTCTAAAATCGCTTGCCTCTTTCCCGCATTTAAAGAGTGCCTAGGTCGAAATAAGAACTGTTTATCCGATAATATTACATAACAAACCGAGTATCACTGCCTTCTTGCATATATTCGGTCAATTTGGCATATTAGGAAAAGTTTCTTCTTATGACATTAAAGCAGAACCCTCCTTCGATTCTTGAAAGGCGGAAAACTTCTTCCTTCCTTATGAATAATTCATACACCCTATGAAAAGCCATGTCATTGCCACCCGCAAAATAAAATCATATTTATTTTCGCATATTTTAACTTTTATTGGCGCCACCTAAGCTACAAACGGGAATATAAAATGTCCATTGGGTCTGGTTCCACTAGCCGGTGCTGGTGTTGCTCGGATGAGATTACATCTTCTACTTGAAGGGTGTGATAGCTACCTTTTTTCCGTACTCCTAAATCTCTGACTACTCCTAGCGGTTGATTCAAATCGGCCCAAGAAAGGATTTCTCAACGTGGCAATATTTGACCAGCATGCAAACATGCTCTTGGTTGCAGTGTTCAGTCTTTAAACACATTTGCAAGACGATTTCTTTGTTCGATGGCAAAATTCCATGATGATGTTTGGGAAAGATTTGCGTCGAAAAAAGGAACTGCTCCTGCACAATAGAATAGAGATCCTCTCCAAATATTGACCACTTGCTCACTGAGAAAGTCCATTCGAAGATGGGATTGATTGGAAGGGATTCGGTCAAACTGCAAATAGACGATCATCAATCATGCCCGGGCGAGTAAGGATTTGTGTAGATTCAGATTTTAGGATTGCCACATTAAGCTTCAGAAGACACATCTTGTAGTTATGCCTTTTCTTGAAAGTATCACCGACAATGCTCTTCGTGCTTTATGCTACTATAGAACAGTAATTCTGGCCATCTGTAGACCACGAAAGCAAAAGTGTTACTCTCGTACGCCACGTTGCAACGATGATAAAATAATGAAATGATTTAATTTCCTGCGAAAAACTTGCCGCTCTAGTGAAGCAGGAACGAAACCGAAAAAGGGCTCGAATTGCTGCTCCGACTTGAAATCGAGAAGGCCTCCGCAAAAGGCCATAAATGCAACGTGAAGCAGAAATTAAAAAGGATATTAAATTTTCATGGGGAAGATGAAATCCTTTTCGCGGTGGAAAATGTGAGCAATCAACTGTGTGCTGTGTTGGGATCATTTTACCGTGGCTGCCGCGACCGCGATGACAGAAGATCTACGACTCTTTCAAGAGCAAATGGCAAAATGCGCCGCACGCCTTTCTTGCCCGACTTGCCGCCATCGAGTGGAAACAATCGTCTTATTAGTCATTAATTACGTCGGTCGTAAAGGACTCGTGTTTTTGTGAAGGGAGAGAGTTGTAGAAATGGTATAACAGTGGAAATTAACTGATTTCAGGAGAAGAATATCGTCTAGATGCTCATCCCACCGAGAAAGATGAAATGTTTAGAAATTTAAATGAGTGATGAAGCGACAGTAAAATACTAAATGTATGCTTCTTAACAGCAATTACAGTTTATTTTTAATGTCTGTGTATGTACTAGAAGACTGAAAATAAACCTTCGGATGTCATGGAGAAACTTCCAGAGGAAGACAAAAAGAATTTCTGGAAGAATTTGATTGATACTTCCGGAAGAAGCTCAAAGGATTTGCCTGGATAAGACATCCTAGAGACTGAGGTAGTTTGGAAGAAAATTCTGAAGAAAAACCGAAGCATCTTTCGGTAGAAACCAGAGGGTTTACGAGACAGTTAGAAGAATTTTTTAGGAGAAGTAGGAAAATAAAAATCCGGTGGAAATCGATAGAATCTTCTAGGGACAGTAACCAAAATATCTTGGGGGAAGTTGAAAAAACTGGCGGAAGAAGACAGAGAAACCTTTGGAACGAAACTGCCAAGGAAAGATTAAATAAACTTTAGAAAGTCTAATCTAATCTAATCTAACACCAACACAGCCAGCTCTTGAAAGCATCCTGGAAAATTATAAATATACCTACATCATTTTTCTTATCTATTTGATATATGTTTCACATTGAAGATGCGTCACACATATCAAAACGGCCAGGACTACTGTACAGCATTTA